AGGCGAATGTTAGTTGCGCGTTTTAAGAGCTTCATGAATATTCAAAATTTTAACCCTTTGTGGGGGAGGTACAAGAAGGAGTGAACCGATACCTTCCATCTTTACAGCAGATCTTGGGTTAATAAAAATGCTGTGATTCGTATAATTTGAACGTTTTGGTTATTCAAAACTTTGACCCTTTATGGGGTAGGTACAAAAAGGAATGATCTGATCTCTACGATCTTTACAACAGATCTTGCGTTGAGGGAAATTTTGAGATGTGCCAAGTCTGAATGGAATTGGATATTATTTTGGCGTTTTATGAGCTTCATGTGTATTCAAAATGTTGACCCTTTGTGGGGAGGTACCAAAAGAAGTCGACCAATATATACCATTTTCATACTAGATTTTGTGTTGCACGTAATATTGAGATGTGAGAAAATTGATGACAATCGGGCTCTTATTTTACATTTAGTAAAAGTTATAATTATTCAAAATGTTGACCCTTTGTGTGGATGGTACATGATGGATTGGTCGGATATTCTTAATTTTCGCACGGATTTTAGAATGCAAATTTTGCGCTAAATTGAATAATCCTTTCTTTTTCTATAGCGTAAAATATTTTCGGTTAAAATGTTGACCTTTACTTGTGGAGGTCCCGAAAGTATTTGACTCTTGTTGCCCATCTCCGAACTAGATATATGTTCGACAATAATATTACGATGCACCAAATTTGGACCAAATCGGATACTCCCTTTCAGGAGTTATCTTGCGCACCAGTCAGCCAGACAGACGGATAGCATTATATCGACTCCAAATGTCCTGAAAATGATTTGGGCCAATTAGAACTAGGACCTGAAACTGTTATTTTTATGAATCACGTTTTGGCCGCATCAAATGATATATACCTCCTGTAACCATATGGCAAGGGGTATAAAAACAGTCTACCATATAAGGTGGGTAAAACAAAAATGTCTAGCAAAAGCTTCGAAAGATCTGAAAATTTCGACTTCTTTTGGCATGGTGAACTATTAACTAAAAATTAACGTTAGATTTAGAACTGTATGGCTGTGAAAACTAGGCTCTTTAAATTCTACTGCAATTTTGAAACAAAGCACACAGTAAAATTAAGAGACCTCTATCAGGACCTATAATAACCCTTTCCGAGACCTTATGCCCTCCGCTGTTATACAACCAACCTTTAGAATTTTTTTATTCTTCTTTAATTTAATAACATTGTTTGTTATTATTGATATAATATCATTGATTTCCCTCCCCTCTCTCGCCAACAATCTTCATCAATTGTCATCGACGGTTTCCATTTAACCTTTTGTCATACCAAATTTTCCCGATAAGGCGGAACAACAACCAAATCAATTTTATGTCATTAACCTTAATGCATAAAAAGTGCTCCGACGAAGGAAAAATAAAAATCACAGCAATCATGATATACAAGAGAAAGAAAATGATTCCATCGACAACTATCAATAAAAATCCATTCAACCATATACACCGCACCCCCAGAATTCCTGCCACAATAAAAAATACCCTCCACTTCCTGTTCATATTCCACAAGAATTTATATTTGTAACGGTATTCGGCATCCGTCGTATTCGTAGCACTTAATAAAATTGAATTTTATTTCAATTGAACACGTCTGTTTTGCAATCGCTTCTGCTGCTACCTTTATCGGCAATTTCCAGTTGTGCAAATGTGTGTGTTGTTGTTGTTTGACCATACAAATCCTTGATGATTCATTTAGATGAAAACATTGGATATTTTTCTCAATTGATGAGGATTATTTAGTAGATCCATCGTGGAGGGGAGGATGTTCGGTTAGTGAAGAGGGTTGTTTGGCGATAGTTACAACTGAGTGCAAATCCCTCAAGTCGTACGAACACACAACCAGGAAGATAGTAATGATTACAGGGTTTAACAGCGTGAAAATATTTATGTACTCCCAGGAGTATTTCGATGGCTTAATTTGTGTTTACATGCCGTGAGTTGCGGTTAGTGGCGGTGAAACATGCCCTTTTGGCATAGAGTGTTGCTGGAAGCAACAGGTATACACGTGGAGAATTGAGAGGGGTTCATATATGAAATACTTGTTGTAGGTCTTTAAAAGCAGATAAACCAATAACTTTCTTTTACCATAAGTACCGATGCCACCATTAGGAATAAAGTGTGCTTAATGGTCTGTTCCAGAACTGCAAGAATGTAAAAATATTTACCACGATAACCGATTTTTCCTTTATGATATCGAAAACCACTAAAGAAAGTCTTAAAGTCGGGCGAGGCCGACTTTATGATACCCTACACCACTTTGCTAATTTAGTAGAGCTCCGCATAACAATTAAAAGTTTTTATGGGAGAATTCAATCATACACGCTATGATTATAAGTATAATTTAAAGTTCAAAGGACTAAATATGCCGAAGCATTTGTATCTTTTAAATTCGGACTTGTATTGCTCATTTGGTACACAATTAATTTGAAATCGGATAAAGATATATATGGGAGCTATATACAAATCGGAACCGATCTCCATAAAATTTTGCAAAGATATTTCTGAGCTGTATTTGAAATATTTCCCTGAATATCGTTGTTACGGAGTGCATATTACGGCTGTGGGTAACAAATATGACAAATCGGATGAGCAATACATATGAGAGCTATGACTATATCTGAACCGATCTTCACCAAATTTGACATACTAGCTTCTAGACTAGACAATTCGGTCGTAAGTGCCAAGTTTCATTAAATTTGGGAAAATATTAGACGTTTGGTGCACAACCAAAGGTAAATCGGACGAAGTTATATATGGGCGCTATATCCAAATCTGATCTCGATAAAATTTAGAAAATGTATTTCTGAGCTGTATTTGATATATTTCCCCAAATATTGTTGTTACAGAGTGCATATTACAGCTGCGGAGGACAAAAATAAAAAATCGGATGAACAATATATATGAGAGCTATAGCTATATCTGAACCGATTTCGATCAAATTTGGCATACTCATTTTCAGGTTCAATCTGATCGTACGTGCAAAATTCCATACAATTCGGACTGATATTACACGTTTGGTGCACAATAAAAGGCAAATCGGACGAAGATATATATGGGAGCTATATCTAACTTATGACCGATTATCTCCAATTTCAATAGTTCGTTCGTCATTGGGCCAAACAAATGATTTGTGCAAAATTTCATCTGGATAGGGCAAAAAATGCGAACTGTACTTTGTTTACAATAATACATGGACAGACGGACATGCATAAATCGACTCAGAATGTGATTCTATGCAGATCATCAAAAGCAACTATGGGTCTATCTCGTTTCCTTTTGCCTGTTACAAACAAATGCACAAAGACATAATACCCTGACCACCTTGTTGTGTAGGGTATAAACATTGCAAAACTAGTAGATTTTTGCAGGTTCTGGAACAGGGCATAAATTATGTGATGAATAGTACAGGGTGAGATATAAAAAACAGCAACAAAGTCAACGCCATAATTTTGACATTTTTTTTTAAATTTTATTGAATAACAGCAAAAAATGTCGGAAATTGCATCAAATTTTAGAATAAGTTTAGATTTGTTCGAATTGGTCACCTTTGGCACGAATTATGGCCTTCAAACGGCCAAATGAAACCGTCACACGCTGCCCAAATGTTGCTCTGCGATAATTTGGCCCATTTCTGGCGAAGCGCTCGCTTGAGGTGATCGACACTTTGGTATTTTTTAGTCCAAACCTTGCTTTCAAAAATACTCCAGACACAATAGTCCAACGGATTGGTATCCGGAAATTTTGGTGGCCATTGTGCGCTGGAAATGAAGCGAGGAACCTCATTTTGTATCCATTCTTGGGTGGCGCGTCCTGAGTGCGATGGTGCTGAGTCCTGTTGTAATGTCCAAGGTCTGCGAACAAAATGTGCCCAATGCGTGCCCAAGGCTTTAATACACACTCCAGAATATTTTCGCGATAATATTCGGCATCGGCATTTACTCTGACGTCACCATCCAGCAACCATGGGCTGTTATGGCGGCCCACACCATCACTATGGCCGGCGCTTGAGTTCTGGTGGCCAACCGCACACATTTTCAGCTGACCTCTTTGGCAAGTAAACACGATCATATTGATTATTTACAAACTGCTGAACAACGAATGTCTTCTCATCGGAGAAACCCAGTTTTCCAGAAATTCGGGAGTTCACCACTTTCGGCCAAGCGAAGCAACTTTTTAGCTCTTTTGAGTCTATTTTCTTTCTATTGCGGTGTAAGTTCTTGCACTTTTTGGAATTTCAATGGCTTTACCTCGAGCTAATTTTTCAATATTTTCCGAATGGAATATTTCGATATGTTCAGCTCAAGTGCCATTTTCAACCACTGCGACGCGGGTCCAGATCAAGTAGCTTCTTTACTTTTCGAACCATTTCTGCTGATGTTGCTGTTTTCTTCCGTCCACTTCTTTGACTTCAGTCGGGCTACGCTACCAGTATCACGGTAACGAGCGATGGTACGAGACACAAAGGATTTATTCACATTTAAATGCTGGAGTGCTCTAACGATAGCCACTTGTGGTATTCCAGCCAAATATAAATAAATCGCACTAACACGCTTCAATTCCATCACGAATAAATTTTTTTCTGGAAAATTCTCACCAAAATGCTTTTATACGCTTTTAAACAATATAATGAGCTGTCACTGGAATAATTTTGATAGCTACCGGACGAGTAGCTTAGAAATGACAGCAGTCGGAAATTGTTTTTCCATCTCACCCTGTAGGTCTTCCAAATATCCTTTATATAAAACTCTCTCTTCAACGACCTTCCTTCTATGAGAGTCCTCGAGATTGCCTTATATGTAACAATGACATCAAGAAAATCTTCTTTGAACTGAAGAAAAACAAAATGGGAGAGATCAGTGATCTTTGAAAGAGTTTCTTTTTTTTTTTCTTTTTTGCGCTCTTTCCCTTTCATTCAATTGTATTAAGATTTCTCTCTTTTTTTGTTATCTTTGCAGCATCAAACCCACTTTCGAAAATTTCGAAGTCTCGAAGGGCTACCATGGCGGTCTGGGTGGCTATGAGGAGATGGCGGGCGGTGAACGTGAAGGTGAGGGTCCCGGTGGTGGTATACCCTACGACGATGATAGACCTGATTCGCCGGCATCATTTGAAGAAATCGAACGGCCACCGTTGAGAAAAATCGATAAATATTGTAAAGCCGAGTGTCCTTGTATGTCGGCACGTTATACCATTGCCACGATGGCGTGTATCGGATTTATGATTGCCTTTGGCATGCGTTGCAATATGTCGGCGGCCAAATTGAAGGGAGAACACAATGGGGTAAGTACATATCTTACAAAAATACGCACACATATACATACATGTATGTACACGCATAAAGATTTTTTGATCTAATGAGACCAGCATGTGGAGGCGTTATGTTTTTAAAATGAAATTAAGCTGATTATGGAGTAGAAATGACATCATCATCATTTTCGTCATTAAATAGATTGATTTCATTTGCTTATAATAGGGTTTTATGATGTGAATATTTAATGGAGGTAGTGTTGAGAATGTGTGCGCCAATGGCTGACAATTAATGTTTGGCATTTATACAAATTTGTATTTGATGTTGTGAGGGAAGTCATGGCAATAGGTCACGTTTGAGGATACACATGTGCATTGTTGGTCACATTAATGCTTGGCAGGGATGGGAAGTCTGACATCATGACAATGTTGAAGGTTAAGAAAAAAGGTCTTCTGCCCATAGAATACCTTTAGAATATCGTCTGACTATAGAAGAACTATAGGAGGTCTTCTATCTTTTGAAAATATATAGACGCTATTCTAGAGAAGGTTCTCCTCTCTTCTCACCACAGAAGAATTGTAGAAGTTCTTCTATTTATAGGAGGCCGATAGAAGGTCTTCTATATATCCAGTCGAAGGTCTTCTATCCTTTAGAAGGTCTCTTATCCAAAGAAGCCCTCTAGGGGGTCTTCTATCCTAGACGACGTGTAGGAGATCTGCTCTCCATAGAAGACCTGTAGACCTTGAGTCAATAGAACCCCTGTGAAAGGTCTTCAGTAAATAGAAGAGCTGAAGAAGGTTTTATATCCATTTAAGACCTGTAGAAAGGCTTCTATCCACAGGAGATCTGAACAAGGTCTTCTCTCCACAGAAGACCTGTAGAAGGTATCTGTCTTTAGGTCTTCTATCCATAGAAGACCTGTAGAAGGTCTTCTCTCCATAGAAGACCTGCAGAAGGTCTTCTCTTCATAGAAGACCTGCAGAAGGTCTTCTCTCCATAGAACACCTGCAGAAGGTCTTCTCTTCATAGAAGACCTGCAGAAGGTCTTCTCTTCATAGAAGACCTGCAGAAGGTCTTCTCTTCATAGAAGACCTGCAGAAGGTCTTCTCTTCATAGAATACCTGTAGCAGGTCTTCTCTTCATAGAATACCTTTAGGAGGTCTTCTCTTCATAGAATACCTGTAGGAGGTCTTCTCTTCATAGAATACCTGTAGGAGGTCTTCTCTCCATAGAAGAAGGTCTTCTCTTCATAGAAAATCTATAGATTGTTTTCTATCCATAGAAGACCTGTATAAGCGTTCCATCTATGGAAGATCTTTAGAAGGTCTTCTATCTAAAGGTATTTTATGCATAGAAGACATGTGAAAGGTCTTCAATACAAAAAATACTGTAGTAGGTCTTCTCAAAGAAGACTTGCTAAAGGGCTTCTATAAATAGAAGATCTGTAGAAGGTCTTATATACATAGAAGACTTGTAGAAGGTCTTCTATACTTAAAAGACCTGTAGAAGGTCTTCAATACATAGAAGTACTGTAGAATGTCTTCTATACATAAAAGACCTGCAGAAGGTCTTCGATACATAGAAGTCCTGTAAAAGGTCTTCTATACATAGAAGACCTGTAGAAGTTATTCTATACATAGAAGTCCTGTAGAAGCTCTTCTATACATAGAAGTCTCGTAGAAGCTCTTCTATACATAGGAGACCTGTAGAAGGCCTGCTTTACATAGAAGACCTGTAGAACGCCTGCTTTACATAAAAGACTCATAAAAGATCTCCTATTCAAGGTTGACCTGCAGAAGGTCTTATATCCATAGAAGACCTGTAGAAGGTATTCTCTCCATAGAAGACTTGAAGAGAGTCTTCTATATATAGAGGGCCTGTAGAAAATCTTCCTTCCATATAAGACATGTTGAAGTTCTTATATTTATAGAAGACCGCTGAAAGGTCTTCTCCTCAAAGAAAACCCGTCGATGATCTCCATTTCCATAGAGGACCTTTGGAAGGTCTTCTCTCCATAGAAGACCTATACAATGTCATATATCTACAGAAGACCGGTGAAAGTCTCAAATCAATTTTTTTTTTAATTTGAAGACGAAAATCATAAATCAAATAAACTTTCCACCCCTGAGAGACATGTACGGGTATTTCCAGGATATTTTGAACATGTTTTCATGGAAATTCCAAAAATTACGTTTCTTTGTATTTAGTCTAATTACCATCTCTACCAATCTAACATTTCATCAATGAATACCCCATACATTTACTTTGTTGTTGCTGTTCATTTTAACAACGACATTTGTAACAATATGCATAGGACAAGCAAAGCCCTCCTTCTACCCGATTCTCTTTTACAAAACAGCATTTTGAATACATTTTAAGGCTTTTATATGCATAATTCCATCACGCTCATTAATAATGGCTTCAGGGTATTTTTTGTCAACGGCAACATAACTCAATTCCGTACACCCATAATACTGGCATTTATAAAAAGTTGTGGTATGGGAGAGCATTGCCTTTGCTTTGGTGTTTTGGTAACAGGATGTTTTTTGACTCCTTTCCGGCCATTGTTACACACCAACACTTAGTGAAACACACACAGAGAGAAACGGACGTCATTTCATTCCATTGAACATGAAAGTTTTCCTTTAGAAAATAATATTTTATAAAATTTTTGTACTTAGCTACCGATTAATTGTGTGTGGCATGAGGGAGAGTGTGTGTGAGTTTGTTGAAAGTCCTTTAGAGTTATTTTTTGAAAAAATACAACTCTATTGTTTCTTTTGAAAACAGAAAAAAAAAAGAAAAGCAATTTTTCTACGATACCATTCATGTGCGGACTAATGGTTCCATTTTTCTGTTTCATTGTTTGTTGTTTTTATTGCTAATGGCTGCCTTATGTTGGCTTTAATTCGATGCAGATATGGGATTGGTATGAGGAAAGGACTTCGACTACTACAAATCGAATAAATAAAAAACCCATACGATGTTAAAAATATTCAGATTTGATGATTCTTGAAAATTCTGGTCCTCGAAAAAATATTCTTTAAAAAATCCACGTTTGACTGTTGGTCCTCGAAAAAATATTCTTTAAAAAATCCACGTTTGACTGTTGGTCCTCGAAAAAATATTCTTTAAAAAATCCACGTTTGACTGTTGGTCCTCGAAAAAATATTCTTTAAAAAATCCACGTTTGACTGTTGGTCCTCGAAAAAATATTCTTTAAAAAATCCACGTTTGACTGTTGGTCCTCGAAAAAATATTCTTTAAAAAATCCACGTTTGACTGTTGGTCCTCGAAAAAATATTCTTTAAAAAATCCACGTTTGACTGTTGGTCCTCGAAAAAATATTCTTTAAAAAATCCACGTTTGACTGTTGGTTTTTGGAAAAATATTTTGAAAAAATCCACGTTTGACTGTTGGTCCTTGGAAAAATATTCTTAAAAAAATTACGTCAGTTGGTCCTTGAAAAATATTCTTAAAAAAATTACGTCAGTTGGTCCTTGAAAAATATTCTTTGAAAATCCACGTTTGACTGCTGGTCCTTGAAAACATATTCTTAAAAAAACCCACGTTTGACTGCTGGTCCTTGAAAACATATTCTTTAAAAAATCCACGTTTGACTGCTGGTCCTTGAAAACATATTCTTTAAAAAATCCACGTTTGACTGCTGGTCCTTGAAAACATATTCTTTAAAAAATCCACGTTTGACTGCTGGTCCTTGAAAACATATTCTTTAAAAAATCCACGTTTGACTGCTGGTCCTTGAAAACATATTCTTTAAAAAATCCACGTTTGACTGCTGGTCCTTGAAAACATATTCTTTAAAAAATCCACGTTTGACTGTTGGTCCTTGAAAAAATATTCTTTTAAAAATCCACGTTTGGATGTTGGTCCTTGAAAAAATATTCTTTAAAAAATCCACGTTTGGCTGTTGGTCCTTGAAAAAATATTCTTTAAAAAATCCACGTTTGACTGTTGGTTCTTGAAAAAATATTCTTTAAAAAATCCACGTTTGACAGTTGGTCCTTGAAAAAATATTCTTCAAAAAATCCACGTTTGACTGTTGGTCGTTGAAAAAAATATTCTTTAAAAAATCCACGTTTGACTGTTGGTCCTTGAAAAAATATTCTTTAAAAAATCAACGATTGCCTATTGGTCCTTGAAAAATTAATCTTTAAAAAATCCACGTTTGACTGTTGGTCCTTGAAAAAATATTCTTTAAAATATCCACGTTTGGCTGTTGGTCCTTTAAAAATATTCTTTAAAAATCCACGTTTGACTGTTGGTCCTTGAAAAATTAATCTTTAAAAAATCCACGTTTGACTGTTGGTCCTTGAAAAAATATTCTTTAAAATATCCACGTTTGGCTGTTGGTCCTTTAAAAATATTCTTTAAAAATCCACGTTTGACTGTTGGTCCTTGAAAAAATATTCTTTACAAAATCCACGTTTGACTGTTGGTCCTTGAAAAAATATTCTTTAAAAACTCCACGTTTGACTGTTGGTCCTTGAAAAAATATTCTTTAAAAAATCCACGTTTGACTGTTGGTCCTTGAAAAAATATTCTTTAAAAAATCCACGTTTGACTGTTGGTCCTTGAAAAAATATTCTTTAAAAAATCCACGTTTGGCTGTTGGTCCTTGAAAAAATATTCTTTAAAAAATCCACGTTTGACTGTTGGTCCTTGAAAAAATATTCTTTAAAAAATCCACGTTTGACTGTTGGTCCTTGAAAAAATATTCTTTAAAAAATCCACGTTTGACTGTTGGTCCTTGAAAAAATATTCTTTACAAAATCCACGTTTGACTGTTGGTCCTTGAAAAAATATTCTTTAAAAACTCCACGTTTGGCTGTTGGTCCTTTAAAAATATTCTTTAAAAATCCACGTTTGACTGTTGGTCCTTGAAAAAATATTCTTTAAAAACTCCACGTTTGGCTGTTGGTCCTTTAAAAATATTCTTTAAAAATCCACGTTTGACTGTTGGTCCTTGAAAAATATTCTTTAAAAAATCCACGTTTGACTGTTGGTCCTT